AGCATTATAATAACCTAGCAAGTAGAAGAGGTCGATTACTGGCAGGGACTGAATTGTTCGGGTTAGATGTTTACAGTTTGTTCCTACGTTGTGTTCTTAGACCACTGTTCCAAATAAGGGTTGATAGTGTTTGAGTGCTCACACGCATGTTAAACTTTGTCACCAGAGACGCAAACCAGTGGTTGTCCTTGGTTACTGTCTGTCATATTTGTTTTTTGGTTCATGTTCGTAGCATTTATTATTACCAGAAACTCGTTTCATATTAATTTAACTTGTCGAGTGCCTGATTGTAGATGTGAACAGTATGGATACAATCATTTCCTAACACTTAAGAACTAAATGACTAAAACTGCATTCTCTTTAGATAATTCCATTGTTTTATGTTCAAAACTAAAACTACACAATGTTTGTACAAGGAATGGGTTAAGTAAGAGAATGTTCCCCAACTTGTGGCACTCTTCCATTATTTCAAGAACAGTTGGTGAGCATTTTCCCACAATGATCGACTCTCCGTAATATTTTAAAGTCCTATTCTGGTAGATAATATCCAACTTCTATTTAAATTATTCGGTTATTGTGTGTTTATTATCATGGCTTTTACGTCTTCTTTCAAATAAAGAAAATCCGAGTGAAAAGTAGTAAAAAAGTAGACAAATACAATTATCATATTATAAACTTTTATAAATATTTTCTATTTAACTTACACGTGTATGGATATAATAATATTTTCTCGCGGTTCGAAGTAAAGCGGGAAAATATTGTATTGACGTTATGGGTAATATGCGTATGGTCCAATCAGAGGGGTTGATTTAGATCCGGGTATGTAGGTATGTTTGATTCGTTTGTCACTTTCTAGCCGCCGTTCGTACGTGCATGACTTAAACTTAAGTCATATATATATATATATGTATATATGTATTCATTTCAAGAAGTTTTGTTTATTTGGTATCTCTCTCGTTATAGAAGGTGAGGTCCGACTACCTTTTTCCTGAGATAGGCTTGTGCATTGTCGTCGGATACAGGTTTCCACTTAACAAAATATGGTTTTTCCTGGACGGCCTCGACTATCCGTGAGGGAAATATTTTGGAAAGATTTAAGAGAGAATGTTCATTTATAATGTATAGAAGCATTGAATTATAACATGTTTGTTATTTGTTGTTTAATAGAAACAATATTGTATTTGTTATTATAAAATTACATCCGGCGTCCATCAAATACGGCGGGCTGTCGGCAAATTGATATTTGCGTTTGTGTTGTTTTCTTTATAGGCATATGTAGTATAGATAATACTGAATAAAACTTCAACCTCTGTATACTGGTTTTAGTGTAATCAATTTTACTATGTACAATCCTTTCCTTTGGCAAAGATTAACAAGCATGCTTATATTTTAAATTGTTATACTAGCTTGTTTGGAATCACTCAAATAGATTAAGGGGCAGATAATATATTAAATGTATTCGCATGTGTTTAATAAAGAGCTATTGTTTTTGTGCATGACCATAGTACAGTAATATGAGTGAAATAAAAGGCGTATTTACAGTTAAAGGTTGTGCAGATTCCATAATATTTAGTTTTGGGGGGTTTATGAGGGGTTTTTGTTGTCATGAAGTTAAGTTTTGTGAAGGCATACCAGCCAATCAGGAAGAAACATATATGAGCACACGAATTTAAAAATTAAGGCACTCTCAACAAAATAAACATGCCATTTAAATTGAGCACATCTTTTTAACATCCAGTGAGTGAAATGATGAAGTGGGAATTTGCTAACGTCGGTAACAAATCTATAACAAAAATTATTTAGAAGCTAAAACACAAAAGTACATTTTTTAAAAATTGTTTGTGAAAATTTTACTTGAAATATACATGCAAATTAGAATTGTCTTGTTTTCTTTATTGATTGAGATCATTGCATTATGAGCTTTCTTTACTTACATTACAAAATGTGGGAATTTGCTAACGTCGGTAACAAATCTATAACAAAAATTATTTAGAAGCTAAAACACAAAAGTACATTTTTTAAAAATTGTTTGTGAAAATTTTACTTGAAATATACATGCAAATTAGAATTGTCTTGTTTTCTTTATTGATTGAGATCATTGCATTATGAGCTTTCTTTACTTACATTACAAAATGTTTATCTTTGAATAAAAACAAAATGGAAAAATCATTACTCTAAAAAAAACATTTCATGTACACAATTATCGGAGCTTTCTAAATAGTGCATTGAAGACCCATTGGTGGCCTTCGACTGTTGTCTGCTCTTTGGTCGGGTTGTTGTCTCTTTGACATATTCCCCATTTCCATTCTCAATTTTATCAGCGTAGTACAATTTTTTGAAATCTACATATTTTCCACAACTCTGTAAGTTTCCTAGCACGCGATTGCATGGTAACTTTCAACATACAAGAATGTGTATATGCTTTTTTTTCTTTTTTGTAAATTGTAAATTTCAAAAGTTATATATAACTATACAGTGACGATTTTTAAAGTATTGTCTCACCAGAAAGGAATTCATGTTAACAAGAATGATCATCCGTAAAAATTATTCACTATTTCTTAAAACAATCTTCAGTTGGTCTCAATGTTTGTAAATGCATGCGCTGTCTTCTCGATGTATAAGGTCTGTTTACATTAATAGACCACCATGTGGTCATTCCTCCAGATGGAAAATAGGTACTCTGATTTGTTCACAATGTACAGGTTATATAAATGTGATTTTGGAAATTATTGAAACACTACGGTTGCTACAACGTTAACTAATATAGGAACTGAGTTGGTGGATCGTTAAGCACAATCTTTATTATTTCATATATAGTGCCTTTCTGTTTTGTTTTTTTCCTTTAAAACATATATTTTGCCGTTGTATTGTCCTTGTTCTTATTTTGACTTTTGGTTTTTTGATTTTCTATTTTCTATTTTGTAATTTTTTGTCTGTTGTTTGGTCGTTTTTGAACAATTAAATTGGGTCGTGAGAAGCGTGTTTGCGTTTAAAGGGGCGGTAGCTACGAGATATAAAAAAATAAAATATGATTTTGTTCAATCATTAATGAAAGAAAAATAGTGAAATAATAATTCGCTTTTAACAGCCAGTTTGGTTCAATTTTGTCAAAATAAACTTATAAACATCGCTGATAATTTATTCACTCGTAAGTGATTATTCGGCCTCATTGAATCCGTATTCATGTGAGATGCAATTCAATCTTTAAGCTAGACATGGGCTACGCATGAAGTAGGCGTGTTCAGTTATTAAAAGGAAAAGAATGTCAACATTGAAAATGAAACAAGGGTGAACCATTTGATTGACTGATTCGATTCACAAAAGCTCATTCGCATACAGGTAAAAACGATGATTAACATATATTTTTAATCTATAATATGATATCAAACAGACCTAGAAAAATTCAATTGCACGGGTTCGCTATCTATTTATATCTATATTTATGTTTATATCGGGTTATATGACCGTCGGCAGTCTTTGGAGGTCACATCGATGGTTAATTAGATGGCGTCTAGACTAAGATACACACGAAATGTTGATACATATTATCAAGCCCATGCATTGTAAATTATTTATTTTAGACTTTTTATAATTTGGATATACTTTTTAGTATGTTATAAATCAAATATGAGAATTTAAAGCAGATCGGTGAACATGAATTTGACAGATAATGCCTCTTTAAAGATCTTACTACTCACACTAGAAAACAACTTGATGTCACTAAAACAGTTCATGATATTGTTTATAGGAAAAGAGACTTTAAAAAAATGAAAACATATATAAAAAATGTAAACAATGTTCAGACAATAAACAATTAATAACATAGAATAGTTGTCTACAGATATGAAATGTGCATATTAAACATATTAAGGGTCTTTTTGTATAATTAGTGTATAATTCTCCTCTCGGCGAGATTATAACTACCAAAATATGATACTGGCAATACCACGACCAGGAGAAGGCAGACATTTATAAATAAAACATTACATAAAATACTAAACAGTGCACATCACAAACTCCACTAAAACCGTACTGAAAGTAAGTGACCAGGAAGGGTAAAGAGTTTTTTAACCCTTTTGAACTCGTTATATTCCCCATGGTTTAGATCAAAGATGTGAAAACTCCAGATTCAGGAAATAAATACAGACTATGCAAATGACGGATGGACTATGTCTCTGGTTGATAGTTGTCTCGTTGGCAATCGTACAGCATCATCTTATTGTTATCTGAGCAAACAATACAATAACCATGCAAATAATAAACAATTTAAAGTCGCCATTTGGTTTTCAGCGGCGCTCCTGAGATGTATAGTTATGTTATGCATTTCCACATTTGAGATTACATATGAGTGCAACCTCGACGTTTCATATAACCGAAATTTGATTTATAAATTGGGAAAGAAAGAAGGTAAAAACCCTGTATAGGACGAAGATTCCAACAAATACTATGATATCTCAAAATCACAAGGCTGTATTGCTTTACTTCATTTTGCAGTAGCTATGCATTGTTGAAGATGGTCTTCCATCAATTACCTATAGAACTCATACATCAGAACCGCCCGACGCTGTGATTACCACAGAATTATTTAAAATCATGTATAATCATTACACATGTATTTGAAGGAAATTTTATAATGTGAAAGAATAGTAAAGAAATGCATATCCAGCTGATGAAGTATTCGTACGAATGATATCGTGACATAATATGTAATAATATTTAAGTAATTTTTGTTGTTTTAATTTCAGAGATACCTGGGAATGAATGTACTGTTTTGTCAAAGATACATAATAACAGGTACTTTTACAATATCATAATCTTTTAGCAAGCAAGAATACACAACATATTAAATGAGAGCCTATTTTATTAACTATCTCAAGATATGTTTTAACCTTTTTCAGCCTCATTCCTTTCTGGTATTTTGAATGCAGGAGATGTCTATAAATTTCGGTGTCCCGAACAATCGGAAAAGAAGCTTCTTTCAAACGATGTCCGAATCTATTCAGTTCCATTGTTTGTTAAATGCTGGTGATGAACTGTACATATGGGAATGTCGAAATCGAGAATGGGTGATAAAAGGTATCATGTGTTTAATTGAGATAATCATCGACAGGAATTAAACTAAATTGTTTATTATAGCTTATGTCTAAAGAAATTTCAAAATAGAATGTTAAATTTAATTGGTAAAGAAAGAAACTTCTAGCATGTCATGAGATGCGTTCAATGAATATAGTAAATATTAAGGAAATACAGACGGGATGTATACTACAAAACAAAAAGACAGCATTCCTATTTTATATAAGTAATATACGCTTCTATACATTTTAATCTAAATTAAGTCTAAATAAAGAATACCAATAAAATATGCTCTATAAAAACAGCAGTAAATGTGAATAAAGGGAAATATCGAATACACATGTATGAGACAGCACAACACAAACACTGTGCATTCGTCTAAATCCTTAAATTACTTCCTATATAAAAATAAAGATATGCACTGTGTTATAACAAAATTTGGTAATATGAAATAATGTTTCCAGGGAATTATGCAGTCAGGCGAGGATTAAGGCATTATATCGATTATGAATATTGCCCGTTAAGCAGATACCAACCATTTATTTATTGGTCCAATGAAGACCACCAATGCCAAATAGTGAAGTCTTTGTGTTCGGAAGAAGGCCAAGTACATTATGATAATGGCACAACTACCAGTGACAAAGGATGCCGATGTGATTATATAAGAGGTTATGACTTTCTTGTCCCTGCAAAAAATAAATGTTTCTGTGTGCCATCTGAAGAAGATTGTAGTTGTCTACAAAAGTCATGCATGGATATCCATAGACAAAATGCAGGTAAAGCTGTCAAATAACTAATACATTTGAAAGTTTTCAAACACTAAATATCCGTAAATTTGTCACATACTAAATATACTGGTAAACATGAGAAAGACTAAGTAATTGCTTTGTTTAATGTGAAATGAGGATAATTTGTTGAAATAAGACTCAATACAGGTAAAGTTTTCAAAATAACCCTCTTTAACAACTCTTTTCAAATTAGGAAAATGTAAATTATCTCGCTCTGTTACTTTAAAGTAGAATGGCCTATTTTTCTTGCGGCCATGTCTTAAGGTTTTTTGATTGGGTTGGTAATGCATTATATTAAGCTTTTTGTGGTGCTTTTGATTTTGATTTGAATTAAAATTCCTAAAAAAAAATGCATTTCTGTTATACCAAATAAATGTAAAAATTTTAAAGGGGCATAAGCTACGAGATATAAAAAAAAATAAAATATGATTGTTTTTTTCGTTCAATCATTAATGAAAGGGAAATAGTGAAATAATAATTCGCTTTTAGCAGCCAGTTTGGTTCAATTTTGTCAATATGTGCTAAGAAACATCGATGATGAATTAATTCACTTGCAAGTGAATAATTCAACCTCATTGGATCCGTATTCATGTGACCTTTAATTTAACCCCTTATCTAGAGAAGGGTTACGCATAAACTAAGCGTGTTCAGCTATTAAAAGGAAAAGAATGTCAACATTGAAAGTGAAACAAGGGTAATCCATTTGGTTGACTGATTCAATCCACAAAATCCCTTTCTTATACAGGTAAACACAATGATTAACATGTTTGTTTAACCTATAATATAAAATCAAACAGACCTAGAAAACTCCAATTGCACGTGTTCGCTATCTTTTTATATCTATGTTTATATCAGGTTATATGACTGTCGGCAGTCTTCGGAGGTCACTTCGATGGTTAATTAGATGGCGTCTAAACAAAAAAAACACACGAAATGCTGATACACATTATCGAGTCCATGCATCGTAAATTGCTTATTTTAGACTTTTTATTATTTGGATATACGTTTTAGTATGTTATAAATCAAATATGAAAATATGAGTCAAATCGATGAACATGAATTATACAGCTTACTCCCTTTCAAAGTATTCCCTTATTTTAACTATGCCAGATTTTTCCATTTTCTTTGATTATGATGTTCTGTTGGCACCTTTTTGTGGAAATAAAATGTCTTAATTGTTTCTTTAAACACGTGCTTGCATTGATCTCTCAGGATTTGGTACTGGCGTGATTCATACTTAACCTTTCTAAAATTGTCCGTTTATAAATTTAGAAATCATTAGGAAACTAAGGTTTCAACTCCCTCAGACAAAATTTACCTTAGATGGATTTTGCTATTATTTTTATGTATCTTTTTGGTTTTATGGCTCTTCAATTGCAACTGTTCTTATACCTCATTGACTTTGAAAAATTCGGCTTTGGGCGTTTTAGAGGAAGGTGTCTCCAAAAAAGCGCCTCGTATACGCATGACATTTATAAAGTGTTGTTTAATTTTTTATTCAATCAGTTTGCATTATTATAAAACTTTTAAAATAGAGGTTCACATTTTATTAACATTCAATAACATTTATAATAGATACAGGAATAGATTGTGGAAGTATGATTTCTTTTGCAAGAATTAAATAAAAGTAGTATTTTGAAATCAAATTTGTATGATTGGTCGTAGCTGATTAACGTCTTCATGCAAAGAGTATATCAATATTCAAAACGAATACATGTCAATAATAAGATATGAATATATCCTACTTTGTTCTAGACCGACACGCTAAGTCAGATTTTAACTTGCTATATTTTAAAGTAACAGTATGCAGGAAGACATAACACCCTACTTAGCATGAGTTTCTGACACCGAATCGACAAGTCTTTCTCAATAATGCCCCGTACATGGCGAAGAAACAACAGCTACTAATTTTTATGTATTGCTTAGAACCAAGACAAACAATTCTTGTTAAATCATAAAGTCTTGATATTTGGGGAATCAATATCATTTACTCTTACAGTTTGAAACACAGTATAAGTCTTTTGAGATTGTTTTCAGTAACGTGATTGTAAGATTTCTTAGATGTTATATTATTTAGGGTTTTTTATATGCACCTGTACTTTCTATAATTAGTTTAATTATTTTCTTCCTTTAATCTTATTTTCAGTACTGTAAACTTTCTTTTGCTATATCATTTAGTATTAATTTATATACACCTGTTCTTTTTGTGATTCGATTACTTTGTGTTTCGTCCTTTTGGGCTTCCTTTCAGTACTGCAAGCTTTCTTTAATTTTCTATATTATTTAGTATTAATTTATATACACCTGTTCTTTTTGTGATTCGATTACTTTGTGTTTCTTCCTTTGGGCTCCCTTTCAGTACTGCAAACTTTTGTTTGCTATATTATTTAGTATTAATTTATATACACCTGTTCTTTTTGTGATTCGATTACTTTGTGTTTCGTCCTTTGGGCTTCCTTTCAGTACTGCAAACTTTCTTTTGCTATATTATTTAGTATTAATTTATATACACCTGGTTTTTTTTTGTGATTCGATTACTTTGTGTTTCGTCCTTTGGGCTTTCTTTCAGTACTGCAAACTTTCTTTTGCTATATTATTTAGTATTAATTTATATACACCTGTTCTTTCTATAATTTGATTATTTTTTTTCTTCCTTTCAGTATTTCAAGCTTTCTTTTGCTATATTATTTAGTATTAATGTATATACACCTGTTCTTTTTGTGATTCGATTACTTTATGTTTCGTCCTTTGGGCTTCCTTTCAGTACTGCAAACTTTCTTTTGCTATATTATTTAGTATTAATTCATATACACCTGTTATTTCTTTAATTTGATTTTTTTTTCTTCCTTTCAGTATTTCAAGCTTTCTTTTGCTATATTATTTAGTATTAATTTATATACACCTGTTCTTTTTGTGATTCGATTACTTTGTGTTTCGTCCTTAGGGCTTCCTTTCAGTATTGCAAACTTTCTTTTGCTATATTATTTAGTATTAATTTACCCCTTTTCTTTTTGTGATTCGATTACTTTGTGTTTCGTCCTTTGGGCTTCCTTTCAGTAGTGCAAACTTTCTTTTGCTATATTATCTAGTATTATTTATATGCACCTGTTTTTTTTTATAATTCGATTACATGTATTTTAGTTTTTGTCCTTTGAGCTTCTTTTTAGTAACTTCAAGCTTTCTTTTGCTATATTATGTTAGTATTAGTTATAAGAGAACATGCAGTATTTTAGTTGTGCCACAAGGTAACCTTAAGGCAAAGCGCTGATTTTATATGCATATTTGTTTTTGGTGTTTTTGATACCGATATCTGTGAGATAAACGTCCATTATCACTGAACTAGTATACTTACTTGTTTAGGGGCCAGCTGAAGGACGCCTCCGGATGCGGGAGTTTCTCGCTGCATTGAAGACCCATTGGTGGCCTTCGGCTGTTGTCTGCTCTATGGTCGGGTTGTTGTCTCTTTGACACATTCCCCATTTCCAATCTCAATTTTATTGTTCTATACTAATCCATAGAATCCATTTGTTATTCCATTGATCCAGATTAATAGTGGGAAATGTGGATGTATCAAAGAATTGGTTTGACACCACGACATGATAATTTGTCTGTCCCAACTTAGGAGCCTCTTCGTTTTTTTTTTTGTGTTTTTTTTTATCTTTAATTTCATCTTTCAATCCATTTGTATACCAATGACAATGTTTAGCTCATGTTTTCGTTTCTGTACGAATCCTACAAACTATAAGGAAACAAAACAAAATAAATCATTGGATAGCATTTGTTCAGTATTTTCTGTAATTGTCATTTACTTCTATCTATTGTCTAAGTTTGTCATGTAGGTTCTTCCAAATATCTCGATTTATCTATTTAACTGGGTATTTTTAAATGTAGCTATACACGCTAGGTATCGACAGTCGCACATGTACTTACTAGAAACCTAAAATTGTCTTTCAAGCAATACTTCACATTTTTTAGAGTTGCTTCTTTCTTGATATTGTCGCGAAGGCGACACTTAAGCCTTATGTTGTTGGCGGCGTAATCTATACAGAGGGCAACTTAATGGTCAACAAATAACCATTTTAAACACAGATTTGTAAGAATTCCAACACAATGCTGTTGTAATATTATAAATTGCATTGTGGTCAAATCTTATTTCTCTGGAACAAAACACTACTCGACTCGGAAAAGAGTATTTTCAGTTAATTTTTCTGTATTTCATATAATTTTTAGATAATAATTGTGTCAAATGGAAAATAAAAGAAACAAACACAGTTTCAATGGCAATGTAAGTTGTATAATGTAACATGCTGTTTCTGTTGAACTAGTAACGCAAATTTTGATAAAACATTCACATGCAATTCATACTGTTATACGTAATAGTTTCCTCTAACTATAATGCTCTTCATAAAACATTTGAAGTTTGCTGTGTTCATAACTTTCGAAGTAGTTCTTTCCGTCGTTATACGTCAAATTTGGTTAAAATTCAGATCTTTCGTAATTAGCCTGCTCCTCTTATGAGCATAGTGAATTCACAGGTCTGTTTTTTAATAACTAGTAGTTTGACAGGGGTTTTCTACATCATAAGTAGAAGTTCATCTCATATCTCTATTGCCAACAATTGTTGTCAACTTTGTAAAGGTGATTGATAGATAACTAAAATTTTCTAAAGATGCATATGTGTTAACAAAATTTTGCAAATAGCTAGACAAATGACGAAGAAACGAATCAATCATTTGCTTTTAATTTGAATTCAGCGGTTTTTATTATAATTTGCGGCATTTTCACTCTTACGTGTTTTTCTTGGCTATGTTTGACATGCCTGTGTAATATACTGTATTGTATTAACTAAACCTTTTATTTTGAAAAATAACTTAGTCTAGTTCATAATTTACTTTTGGGACAATTGAAATCTGTGACGAAATCTATTATTCATTATAGTTAAGTTGTGAACATGTCTTTCATCATCTGCGGTCAGAAATAGACCTTTTTATTATATAACTATAAGGGGAATAGCCATTACAGAATACTACACTGTTTTACAGACATAAGAGAAAAGACATTAAAGAAGAATATAATTCAACACAACAGATTTCCAGGTTTAGAAAAACAATACATATAAAATCAGGTACACCATATCCAACATTTATTTGGTTTTCAGGTACACGGTTTTTTTGTCATTTTTATACATCATAAATAAAATACCTTGTTTTCCTTGTTATATATATTGACAGTTAAATATGAATAAGCCCGCTCAACAGTTGACATTTGTCTATGATTGGTATACTCGCTAACCTACTGCAAGTATACCAATCTGATAAAAATTAAAATTTTCATTTTGCTCCGTTAGTTTTTGTTTCTCGCGTGTGTAAGAGTGTGTAAGAACGGAGCAAAGTAAAAGATCTGATTTAAATAAGATTGCAATTATGCTATACTTCTTTCTACAAAGATTGTATAATTTTGTGATATAAGTATTGTATTAGTGTTATTCGTTGTTAGAGTTTCATTATCATAATATTATAATTTCAAATTATCCGAAATTGACTTCGCAATGAGAAAAATAAACAAGACTCGTCTCCATAGTAGGAGTTGACTGAAAAATGATAAGAAAATAAGAAGCTTTTCTATATAAATAATAGTCTTTTCGTTTATGAGTTAGTCAGTGCCTTCGTCCTCTTTCATTCTTTAATTTTCATTTTAATTTTTATTTTCAAAAATTACCATTGACCCAACTCCTTCCCAAATATGATACAGATGTATGAAATAAAGAGCAGTTTAAATGCAAAATAGAATAAATGCCTTTAATTTAATCCAATCTTATAATCAACATCAGTAAATACACAATGTATTTTACCTTCAGATGGAAGATTATTTTTTGTGATGATGGTGGTACTTATTATTGTTACTATCGTGTTTGGTCTAATGGTAATTGGTAGGGTTTCATTTTGTCGACTAGGTACGTACCATTTTTCACAAGATTTACATTTATTCTAATCTTTAAAAGAAATTGTATATATATTCAAATTAATGTTGTTTGTTCTTTACAAGCAGTAACTCATAAATGAATTCCTGCATATAGTCCTGCATAAAGAGCATATACATCCAAGTCCATACATATCTTAGGCCTTTTATTATGAAGGGCCGTTCGGGTCAAAATTCATTTTGTTACACGTACGCTAGAGGTACGCGTAGCAGGTCGTTCATGTATCCTAGAGGTTCACGTAACACTTTGTTCACGTACCCTAGATGTACACGTAACACTTTGTTCGCGTAGCCTAGAGGTACACGTAACACTTTGTTCACGTACCCTAGAGTTAGGCGTAACTATTTGTTCACGTACACTATAGGTACACATAACTGTTTGTTCACGTATGCGGAATAACCTTTATACCCTATGCACAATGAACTCGTCTGCTGGAGAATACTAATTGACCAATTAAATCAGGCCCTTTTAAACATTTTAAACGGAGGATGCAAGTACATTTTTAAATAATGTAAAACGAAATTGTAATGCCTGCGTTAGAGAGGTTTTGTATGCAGATCCCGTTAGTGACGAAAAGTTATCATGAGTCATTTTTATTCTGTGAATAATACAGTTCTGAACCTTAATGATCGGTTTATTTTGTTAAATTTAATTGGATAATGAAATTATATTAACACAGTCAATCCATTATTCAGGGAAAGGGATGACATATTTTCTGTTGCGGTTAGCTGCACACACAAACAGTTACGCGTACCTCCAGGGTACGTGGACAAACTGTTACGCGTACCTTCACGTACCCTGAAGGTACGCGTAAAAAGTTAAATCACAAAAATACTGAACTCCGAGGAAAATTCAAAACGGAAAGTCCCTAATCAAATGGCAAAATCAAAAGCACAAACACATCAAACGAATGAACAACAACTGTCATATTCCTGACTTGGTACAGGCATTTTCTTATGTTGAAAATGGTGGATTGAACCTGGTTTTATAGCGCTAAACCTCTCAGTTGTATGACAGTTTGTTTGTGCTGTTACGCGCACCTCTAGGAACGTGAACAAACTGTTACGTGTACCTCTACGGTACGTGTACGACCTGTTACACGTACCTCTAGCGTACGTGTAACAAAATGAATTATGACCCGAACGGCCCTTCATATTTTATATACTATATAGAGAGTTGATGCTTACACGAAAGTAATCAAAACAAATGGTTCTTTTTGCCCAGCACTCGAAATGTTTTACGCACGATATGAAATTAAATCAAATCAAATAATTTTATTGGTGTAAAATCCAAATACTGGGTTGTTACCAAGACAAACATAACAATATTTACAAACATACAATGATTTATATGTACAAAAATGTATCATGAGTTGGTGTAAAAAAAAATGATCGTTGCGGAATATCTATGTCCAAGATGACTGCAAAATGTTCCATTTGTCATAGGCGAAATACATATCTTCTAAAGAGTTGCTGCTTACATGAAAGTAATCAAAATAAATGGTTCTTTTTGCCTAGCATTTGAAATTTTTTTAATCAAAATAAATTGTTCTTTTTGGCCAGCGCTCGAAATGTTTTACGAAATCATTTTATTGGTGTAAAATTCTTATTTTGGGTTGTTACCAAGACAAAGATGACAATATTTACAAACATACAAAAAATTTGAGATTGGCGATGGCCGACTTTTTCCAACTTGTGTTTCTTTCGTCTACCTGCTTTATCGGGAGTTTAGTTTCTTACTATGAAACAATTAAATGCAACTAGGTAATGTTTTCAGTTTTTATAAATTACAGCTTTTGTTTATTTATTTATTCATTTGTTTATTTATTTATTTATTAAGATCACCCTCGGGTTTGTTTGGTTGTTTTGGTGGGGTTCGTGTTGCTCAACTGTCTGTAGTTTTATATGTTGAATGTTCCCTTGGTATTTTTCGCCTATTTTTATAATCGGTCTTCACTTTTATATCGTATCAATTGTTTTAGAAATAAAAGGAGAAGAAAGTGCCGGTTGTATTCCAAAGGAAAGAATTTCTAACAAATAAGAGTACATGACAGGTATCAAAAAGAGAGGTATGTTATTTACCCTACAGCTTTACTATGGAAAAAAAATGGAATAGCATCAGCAAAAACTTTTCTCAGCTCACTTTATGATATATTTCTTTGAGAAAAGAAATAATAAACTGTATATATTTGTTTAGCAAAGTCGTATTATTTTACTTAGGGGTTATTTTGCATGGTCTTATATATGCAATTATTCCAAAAAAATATAAATATTATATTAATACGGACTGTTTTCATTATGTTTTTATATTTTTTCGTTACATAAAACTTGTAGGCTAAAAATAACTTTAAAGCGTATTAGAGTTGCGTTACACATTGAGGATATTATAGAAAACAGAAATTAAAATAAAAATTGTATACAATAATTTGATTATTTTTTAGATATCATTATTCTGCAGAGTGACGAGGACTACTTCAATGTGACAGCCATCTATAAGGGTCACCTTACATTTATCGCAAACGATTTAGGTTACAACTATTGAATCATTCAAGGATGTCTTTCCATCGACGGACCAGATTCCATTACAAAAATTTATCAAACATTGTATTTTTTTTTTATGTTTCTGGAATGTCTTTTCCTTCCAAAGTTAAAATGTATGGTCTGATTGAAAAATTGAAAAAGAAATAAACTCTGTACTTAACTTGCCTCATAAATACATTTTGTACCTATCACTTAAACTGTATGTGCTTGTGAACTTTCAAATCTCGAATCTTTAGAATTTGATTTGGACTACTCTAATTATGAAAACGAAAAGACAATTCGAGAGTCCTACAGAGAATAGAAACATTTAATGTAAACTGATTTTGGAGATTATTAAAGAGTGAGTGAAATATCTGTATTGTTACAATTCAAATAAAAGAACAGAGTTCCAATGTCCCCCGCGTTGCACAAATTTTATCTGTCCAAGGTCCAAATGCAATAACTAAAAAAAAAACTTTTTTTGTTCTTTAAAACTTTTTATATTATAGAGAAATAAAGGCTTGAGAGCAAATGCAATTTTCGAGACACTGTTGATATAAACCTATGATATAAGTTTCATAAAAATCTGGCAAGAATTGTACACATGATAGCCCTAACAATGCAATTTTCCATATTATCAATATTTCCAAGGGGCATGATTCTTTTAAAAAAAATTCATCGGCACTAATTTCGAACTCGCCCATGACATTGCTGATACAAAGCTATGATATAAGTTCACAAAAATCTGGTAAGAATTGTACACATTCTCATGGGAGCGCTCACAATGCAATTTTCCATATAATTGATATTTCCAAGGGGCATAACTCTTTTAAAAATAATTCATCGGCACTGATTTTCGAACTTGTCCGAGACATTGTTAATTTAAATCTATGACTTGAGTTTCATAAAAATCTAGCAAGAATTGTACACATGAGAGCTAACGATGTAAGTTTCCATATAATTAATGTCTCCAAGGGGCATAACTCTTAAAAATAATTGATAGGCACTGATTTTCAAACCCGTCCAAGAGATTGCTGATATAAACCTACAATATAAGTTTCATAAAATCTGGCAAGAATTGTACAAATGAGAGCGCTTAATATTAACGATGCAATTTCCCATATAATTAATGTTTCCAAGGGGCATAATTCTTTTTAAAATCGTTCATTGGCACTGATTTTCGAACTCCTCCGAGACATTGCTGATATAAAGCTATGATATAAGTTGCATAAAAAATCTGGCAAGAATTTTATACGTGAGAGCGCTAACAAAACCGGACGGACAGACCCAAGAACGGACGCCCGGTATTTCTATGTTCCCTGCAAAGCGTTGCGCGGGGGACAAAAAATATACTTAAAAGTGACAATGAAGCTTTATTATCATATCCAATTCCGTCATAAAGTTAATTTGCAATTCATATCTGATCAGTTTATGTAATATTGAAAAAACACCTTAAATGTTAAAAAAAAAAAAAATCAAAAAAAATCCACATGGTTGAATAGAAAAGAAACAATGGTACGATGAATAGAATAACATTCGGTGAATAGCAGAGAAAGAGATTTATGAAGAAAATTTAATATTTTTGTTAAGTGTGCACATCTATTTGTTAAATATTATACAATAAACCACTTATGAATTATAATAAATGAATTAGAGTTTAAAGACATAAGTAGCAATGTCATGACTTGACTAAATTCAATAGATAAGTTTAAACAGAAAATACTTTGAGAAGAAAAATAAACTAGCAACTTTAATGCAACTCCTTATAAGAGAAGGGAACAAGCGTTCAGTTTAAATAAGCTTCATGAATCATGAATATACTCAGTCTATTACAATATGAATCCATGACAGATATCAATATTGACTGCTGTCACTCAAATGTCCACTGCTGAACTTCTGGAACGATCACACATGTCTTTAAAGGTTGTGAATGGTGCAAGAAATGCAAGATATTGTGCGTTGTCCGTAGTCATCTAAAACACAGGAGTATAGAACGAGACAATCAACGTTTTCTCTATCAATGTTAATGTGCTTATAATCTGTTTCAGTAGTTGGTGTAGTTGTTGGTTCAGTGTCATTTAGGCATACCTGTCCTTTTATTTGTCTTTTTAAATTGGATGATGTCATGTTTTCCGTTCTCTTACATTAGTCATCTCACTCACGTTGTGAAAGTTTTTTTAATTGAAATGTAGGTTAGTTAGTCGGTGTAATACGAGGACAAAAAGACACCCAATAAAAGATAACAAATATCAATTCTACTATTAAGCGTCGATAAGGAGACTCCAATCTGACATTAGTTTTGGTAATACATCAAGGCTTTTAACTGGACGTAAATAAGAGAATAACAATCTTTTACATCAATTTGAGATTGTGACGTCAGATTGACTGCGATTTGATGAACGGACGTCTATTAGAGACAGGACGTTGATCTGAGTCGAACAAATATAATGTTTCCCTTAAAAAAAAATAATATCAGATAAATTTTCTTATCCTACCTTTTATTTAGATGTCGCAAATAAAACTTAAATAATAAAACATATAATATTTTAAAAAATGAAATTTTTTTTAAAAACTCATCAACGCTGATAATTAAAAACGTGTTCTATTTACATGTTACTCGACATTGACGTTTGAATGTACAAATTTGGAAAAAAATAATAAAATTTCAAAGCAACCAAATAATATGTTTATTTGTCTCTGTATCAATGTCGATTTTAAAGACATGTTTGTGTTATAATCAAACAAAAAACAATATTTTACGAAGTTAAAGAACACTAAAAACCAAGAAGATGTACCAAAATGGTAGAAAAAGATATGGTCATCTCTTTTAAAGGTATTACATTTTTCAACAGCAAGGGCTACATGCGTGGTATATCACCTCATTTGTATGGTTCTTTTATACGAAAGTGTAACGATTTTTAATACTAACTGGGATCTCACAAGTACACCAATTTCAATTAGTTTAATTTTGCGGCACTATTCACCAAACAGCCGTGGCTTCCTGTAGTAGATTTCAAAATTATGTCCAAGGTTATCCTGTTGATAGATCCACTGAGTGGACCTTTATTTATATCAATTACTTTTACGAAATATGATGTGGAGGTTTGGGAAAAAGCAAAACTTGTTTACTCCAAAAACAAATAAGTCAGGCTATCTTGACCATGTGTTGTTTGCTGTTGTTTGTCTTTGTAAATCTGTTTTCTCTCGGAATAGCGTGTAAGTGGATGGGTGTGGTCTGTTGTACTGACCACTTTGTTTGGTATCTCCAAGTATCCTTGTTATGTATTATCCGAAGTACAACCGAACTAGAGCATGGCATACTTAATAAACTCTGTCTCTTGATTATTATGTGTCGTTGAGTCGTTGATGTGTTTACCCTCCATACTATTTCATTGATAAAGAGCATACTTTTAATGATGACCAAATCTTTCTTAGGTTGTTTTAACCGCGTATTGGTACATTTGTACATTTTCTGTAAGTTTTGTTCAAATTCGTTTACTATGAAGCGCAAGCTCATATCGCGAGGTGCCGTTTTTTACTTTAAATGTTTTGAAATTATTATGCTTGAACAAACTCTGAATAATCTGATCGACTATTACGTGAAAGGAAGTTTTTTTTTTTACAAAGTTCACAACATATTAGGATTTTTGAAAATTTAACCGGAAATTCTTAATCCAATTATACATTATATAGTCCGTACTGTTGAAAGAAAAGCAGAAAACCATTACCAGCATAATGCTTTGCCGAAATGGATTTAGTTACAAAGTCGTTATTGTTGTTGTTTACTGTTTACACGTATCTGTCTATTTGGATATAATTACTGCTCTTCATCCAAATGAATCTGGGGTGTGCAGTAACAGAAAGTAAGTCACACGTTTTACTTATCTTATAACAACATTAATGTTAAACAGTGATTCTCAAATAACAAAATATGAATAATATCATAATTATGTTTTTATTCTATATTATATATTTTCAGGCACTATAAGGTTAGAAATTATTAAATTAATGTAAATGTATGCTATATAAGACTCAAAATGGTTGTCCTTTCATCCGTAACAATTTTATGATCATGTGTGGGTCTGTTCGTGTTATGAAGGAAGGTGAAATGCATTGTCTAGAATAATTAGCATGAAACTCATTCATGTAATGGCATATGTATAATAACCAGTACAATACCATCATATATCAAAAAGTTCAGAAGCAGGTGCTCTGAAAGGTAAAGGGAGTGTTGGTACCATTAAAAATGGAACCTCACTGATATAGCTGTGCCAGTGAAGTACGTATTTAACTTATTAGCAATTTCACTATTGTTACTGAATACTCATTTTGAATAATACTTTATAATGTAAGTTCAAATGATCTGAACGTGCTTTTCCATAATTTTATGGTAGAATTAATTCTTTAAAGGACATGAGTTTCAATTAAAGTAAACATTAATATGTCGTACAACAGTATGTATATTCAGCAAAAGTGAGAAATCTAAATTGTAAGTTGTAACCATTTAAAAATAAGTACACAAGAAATAATGTTGCAAAGTTTAGTAGTATGAATCGTTAAAACATCTTGAATATACCGATTGTTTATGAATTTTTTCATTGTTTAGGGTAAGACATTTTGATTATTGTATCTTATTACATTGCTTGCAGTAACCGAAAGCAAGCTCAGGGTACTTAACCTGCTGATAAGAAATTATAACGTCATACAATTTAAAATGTCAATTTTTACCGATATTTTTAACCAACAGTGACATTTTAGAAATGTGTTTGAATAAAACTTCATTGAAGCACAGCTTGTCTGAGAGAAGTTATTTTATGTTTTTCTCCAACTTTTCTCCAAAAGTTGAAGAATTGTGACCCTAGCTGTTATTTTTTTTTTCTGTAGAAACGGCTCAAATTGGTTGACATGCTGTCAGGGGTATTTGTATGAACAGGCAGATGACAGATGTACAGGTAATATTGAAACATATAAACTTTGCTATTTTATACTTTCAATTCATATTTTTAATCGTGTATGTCACAACCTGTGATCAAGATTGTTTTAGTATTTGCATTATCATTTTTCTTTGTTTGATATAGAATGAAAATGTTTTAAAGTTTTCCACGCTTGATAGTTTGTACCATCAAATGCCGTTTATTCATGTTCGAGAATAAAAAAAATAGTCAATAGATGTCACAAGCAAGCAAAAAGGTTAATGACGAAAAACGCTAAAACATGAAAAACACAAATCACTAAATACTAAAAGACATAAAATGGCGACCAAAGCACTGAGACATAAAAGTCGTTGTCAAAAAATGTTGAACAGTGGATATAAACTTCAAGATCATTATAAGAACAAGAGACTTTACTTAAAACGAATTTGTATTTCAACAACTAAAAGTATCAGCTATTTCGTATAGGCATAATATATATCATGCATTTGTAATTGGCGATTGACCATATGCTTCAAGTATGAGTTTTCGATTACTAAAAGTAAATTTCAAGATCAACTAAAAAAAGTTAAATTGTAAACTATGTCCATGTCTAATAACAAATGCATTAATCATATGTCTGAGAATTCAGTACAGTAAAACTTATATCACTCCTCCAGATTACTCTATATATCGTATCCGGTATTTTTCAAAAAAATGTGCTGATTTGTGTCACAGACACATATATCATATGTTCTTGCTTTATGTAAAACAATGTTTGCGCTTTTTACATTTAACACTTATTCCATTATCGAAATTATTTATGCTGCTTTTTATTTAGTTTACTAATCAAAATATTTCATATGCAAACGTATATTGCATCAAAAACTCTAACCTAGACTTATGCACCGAAACAAAAAGTTGGCACTATGAGAACACTATTTGATATTGAATTTAAATAGTCTTAATGACTCCGAGTTTTTTAGCAACACGTCGACTTTGTGACGTGTCAGACCGACATACTAATAGCAAAATGTAGCAAGCGATTTGCATATTGTAGATGAATATTATGCACATTTCCTATGACAATTTTTAAAGTTCTTTTAAGTAGTATAGATGGTTGGTTATTTTGTAGTATTAATATACGAAAATAAGAATACGTGGTATGACTGCCAACGAAACAACCCTCCACCGGAGACCAAAATGATGTAAAACGGTTAGCAACTATAGGTCACCGTACGGCTTCAATATTGCGCAAAATCCTTGCCACATATCATGCTATAAAAAACCAAACTTCACAAATGTAAAACAATTTAAACGAGAAAACTAACGGTCTTATTTATGTCATAAACAATAATCAAAAAACAAATATGATATACAGCTACAAACGACAACCGCTGTAATACAGGTTCCTGACTTAGGATAGTCTCATACAGAATAAGGCTGGGCTGGGCATGTTTGGGATGGACCAAACCACCAAAATCGGGGACAGTGATACAACAGCACAACACAAGATTAAACTGTACAAAACAATAACGAAATACAATGTACAAATATGATATACTGCAACAAAAGACAACAACTGACATTTAACTTATATTATATAAAGTAGCTATTATTTAGCTAACAAAATAAATAAAGCAAAAGCTTTGAGGACATGAAATTGTAATGGAGAAACTCAGATTTTTTTCATTAAAGAAAATGCATATTAGATATGACTTGTTTTCTTTCTCAGTGTGTCCTGTAGGGACTTTTGGAGATAATTGTAAAGACAATTGTCCACCTAACTACTATGGTATTATGTGTAACAAAGCCTGTAATTGTATGGATGGAGAAAGGTGAGAAATGTATTTACTTTTATTTAAAAAAAAAACGATTCTTATAGTTAGTGGACGTTACCTTCGATCTTTTTTGTCTTACGTTTGTTCAAAAGTTAAAATGACAACCTTTAACATACGTCTAAAAAAAATCTTTTTTAGGTCCGTGTAACACTTAACAATTCAAAATTCTAAAAAGTTTTCGAATTTTAGTTTTTGAATTTTTGGTCAAAGTTTTAGAATATCAACATTCTAAATTTTTTAATTTTTTGAATTTTTAAAAATTTCGCCAAATAATTAAAATTCAAAAAATCTAAAATTCGTATTAAAATTTAATAGTTAAGATATTTATTCAAACTTTAAAAATACTAAACATAACGTGCTGTTTTGATCATTTCGCTTTTTGAAAGTTGGATTTTTTTTATTTTTGATTAAAATATAGGAAAGGGGAAAGGACTAAAAAAGTGGATACCTGTTACAAGTGTGAAACGGAATAAAAATGGAACGAAACGAAATGAAATTTACCAAAACAAATCAAAACGAAAACAATATTTTCTGAAAAATTAAATATAATATTTAACAAAAGGCTAACTTGTTTGATCTACAGGGTGAAAATGAGAAAAATGTTTCTTTAAGTCGGACAAATTAATTAGTAAGACCTGATTTTGACACACTTTGATTCTCTAAAAAAAATGACCAATATGGAGAAATTACTTGTCAACTTTGTGATTACTGCTGACAATGTGGTTATTCATTGTTGATTATGTCAATATATTTGACTTGGATACCTCCACGAGGGGCTTCAATAATGGTACGTTTTTCAAGTGCGGATCCAGGAATTTGAAAAGGTGGGGCCTAGTTCGCCAACGCTTGGACTGATGCTTGTAAAAAGTATATGCATTTATCATATATGTAGCTCCAATAGGGGTGGGCAGGCCCCTTGCCTCTAAATCCGCCTCTGTTATTAAATAGCGAATAAAAGGAAACGGGATATTTGATTTTTGTATTAAGGGATAGTTTTGTATTTGTTATTTGCGCATTTTTAAGTTATCGTACGACAATCAACTTTGGGCAAAGTACAAGTACAAATCTACATCCAGTCAGAATGGGACGTGTAGAGATAGTGCCATGCTCTCAGCACGTTAAAAATCCCTGGAATAACTCGTTGGTTGCCTGTTGCAAGGCAAAAATTTCTGTCCCTATCCAATATACCCTCATTTTCCATTGGCGATCTAAATTTTGCCGACCTTCATCCTGAACGGACTCTATTACAGGACATACCTATTGTATTTATTGTTAATTTGTTACTGTCCTGAACATGCATGAAATATTTGCCACTGGCAACAATCAATCAATCATTTAAAATAGGCCGTTTATATATAAATTATAAAGAAACTTAGGTTTAATCTCCCTCGGGCAAGTTGCCCTTAGATGGATTTTGCTATTTTTAATGTCCCTTTTAGCCATAGACCTCTTTAATTGTTTCGGTTCTTATATTTACTTGGCTTTCAAATATTCAGCTTTGAGTGTTCCGGATGTATGTAAATACAGAAAAGCGCTTCGGACGCATGCAGTCAAGTGTTGTTTTAATTTTTTATTGGATATTCCATTCAATTCAAATGTTATTGTCAATGGGAAATAGTACATGGGCGGATTAAGGTTTCTGTTACTGTAATTTTATTTTTTGCTGGCAGTTCTCTTTTTGTAGAATATTTGTGTTTATATTAAATTTTTCTGATTTTTCATTGCTATTACTTAGTTTTCTTACGCCTTTTTTAAAAACTCAGGGGTTCACCACTGTAATATTTATCAATCATAAAATATCATTGACTGTAAAAACAAAGGTAGCATGAGATAGAATTGAAAAGATTATGAGTCCCCTGTACTCGGTTCTAAAAACCGTTTTAAAAAGCACCCAGAAAATTCTTATATATCGTAATACTGCAAGGTTATTGTAAAAATATTTTCAGTACAGAAAATTAACATTAAATCGAAAAAGGTTAAATTTGATCAATATTGTAATATGTTTTGTGACTGCATGGGAATATATAATATTAGTCCACTGTTTAAACATATTGATAGTTTAATCAATATTTGATTGGTTGAGACTATCCCACGTGTCATTGAACAAATCTTCATATTCCATTCTGAGGATCATATTCCCCTCTGAAATGTCGGGATTTCTTCGTACGACGTTACGCGCGGTTAATATACATAACGTTTTGAACTTCTTATTCTTCTTAAAATAGCGATAGCAAAAATCATTATCATGTTAAAATTTATTTCAGACGATAAAACAAAAAGACTTATAATTAAATTATGATCCTTACTGTTTACCAATGGGTATGTCGTGTTTAGTTTGACTTGCAAAAACAAGCGGATAAGAAAAAATGTATGCATAATAATATTTAATGTATTGATAGTAAACAGCATAGGCAGTGGAATAAAACATTCATTTCCCTTTGCCTCGGGAGATATGAAGATTTGCTCACCCTCGAAAAATCATATTTCCCTCGGGCAGAGCCCTCGTGAAATATCAATATTCTTGGGTGAACAAATCTTCATATCTCCCTCCGGCACGGGAAATAAATGTATATTGTTCTTCAGTATAAATAACAGTTACTATCTATAAAAAATCAGTTTTAAATGCCAAGAATGCCTTATGTCGTATTCATGTTTTCTTAAAACAAAATGGCCCATTTTGTTAAACAAAACCAGGACGTTTTGAATGTTGCTCTCGTAAAACAAGGGCAATGTAAAACGCTGAATTTTTTAGTGAAATTCAATGACATAGTTTTTGCCTTAAATATGTATAGCATTCAGAATAAGATGAACAGTCACGAATAAATCATTATACTTGCGAAATAGCAGTTAATCGATCTGATCGCATTTAATATCACTCAAAAATACAATATCTCAGCTGGACACTTTACCTACCGTTTTACATGATATAAATAAGACAACCAACGACCAAAATTTTGCGAAAACAATAAAGGAAAAGTATATATGACAAAAATCAACCAAAATAATTTACCATTAAAATTGGTCACTTCATTCTAAAATGTGTATCGGTGATGTGAACTTATAAAACATTATATCATTTAAATTGCGGTTTTGTTTAACAATGTGTTTTTCTTTTTCAAAATATATTAAATTGGATTTGGCAACAGGCTAAGTATCTGCAAGCCTCTCCAATAGAGATAAAATATCGCATACACAAACTTATGACAACACAAACAAATATGTCAATATCATTAACATTGCATGATGTTGCTCATGTAATTAAAACTGAGGGCACGCATTATTCAAAATGCCCATAGCTCATATGGATAGACGGACGCTTTATGTACAGTGGCAACTATTACATGGATATTCAGACTGAAATTTTTATGTGATATGTTTATGTGGTATGAATTTATTTAACTTTCACAAGACTATCACGCTGAGTTTGATATAAATGGTCTACCACTTAGCATTATCCTCGCTCCAAGCTTCTAATAATTGGTCTAAATCTTAAAGACAGCATGTATAGCGAATAAGCAGTGTAAAGCAGATACTTATATAAAAAAATCCAATCCACAACCTCCCACATTTGAGGCGATGTTCATTGCGACACAACTGATTCGGTATTTTACCTAACGTACCAATACTTGGACTTAAATCAATAATAAAAGACAATATATGATCGTCATGAAATCGATAAAAGACTAAAGATGATCGTTCAAAATGTTCGTTCAATAATTCTATCAGCCGATATGGATGCAGATAGTAAGAAGCCGAAAAGCAAAATAAAAAATCTGACTTCAAATTTGAGGGAATTCACGTGTATTGAACCATTTTGGATGAATCGGTATTGCTTAACATATAGATATAAGAAGATGTGGTATGAGTGCCAATGAGACAACTCTCCATCCAAGTAAAAATTTATAAAAGTAAACCATACATATTTACATACTCAATCTTACCACATTATTCGACTTATTGCGAGTTGGTCAGTTTTGACTGTTCACCTAAATTGATGGGCGCTTTATCAAGCAAGTGACGTTTGGGCAAAAATGTAGAACAAACACAATTGTAAAATTGGAGTAAACTATCCAATCTAGAATTCCTTTTGTCCATTAAGACCAATAAATTCGAAATTCGCTGTTATCTTTTGAATGATTGTGATAACCAAATAGTTCCTAATAAATTATCTGAAATGCTCAGCTTCTGTTATAGATTTTTTTATTGTAAGTAAAATTAATCTGTTTGATGGAGCTTGAAATAGGTTCGGGAATTGTGTGGGTTTTTTTAAATAGTTACCTTGACAATTTCATGATACTGATACTCATATGATGTCCCGATTTGTTTAAAGAAATAAAGCCTCTAATTTAAATATTGTTTTTGCAATTAAAAATGATTCAACTCTTTTTGTTCTTTTTATTCCTACTTAAGATTGACCATAATCAAAGTGTTTCTTTCTTTTTTAAATTAAGTTTCCGCTCTATTTATTTGTTTTATTCAAAAAGTAAAATCACAAAAATACTGAACTCCGAGGAAAATTCAAAACGGAAAGTCCCTAATTAAATGGCAAAATCAAAAGCTCAATTTTCTCCGCTTTGATGCCCGTCTGCCTCTTGTTTCATTTTTTACCTTGATTGGTAATTAAACATGTTCATTTCGTTTTGTTTCGTTTCGTTTCGTTGGGTTTGATTTCGTTTAATTTTCTTATTTTTTTGTTTTCGCCCTGCTATTTCGCAAGTATAATGGTTTTATTCATGACTGTTCATCTTATTCTGAATACTATACATATTTGAGGCAAAAACTATGTCATTGAATTTCACTTAAAATTCAGCGTTTTACATTGCCCTGGTTTTTCGCTAGCAAACAAAACGTCCTTGTTTTTTAACAAAAGGACCATTTTTTTTTTAAAGAAAAAGGCATTCTTTGCATTAAAAACTAATTCTTTTTCTAGATTTCAACTCTGTTTTCTATGGTGAAGAACAATATTATATTTCCCCATGAAGTCACAAAATATATTTCGATATTGATCAAATTTAACCTTTTTCGATTTAAAGTTAATTTTCTGTACTGAAAATATTTTACAATAACCTTGAAGTATTACGATATATAAGAATTCTCTGTGTGCCTTTTAAAACGGTCTTTAAACCGAGTACGGGGAACTCATAGTCTTTTCAATTTCATCTAACTTTATGTTTACAGTCAATAATAAAATGATTGATACATATTACAGAGGCGAACTCCTTAGTTTTAAAAATAGGGATAAGAAAACTAAGGAATGGAAGTGAAAAATCAGACAAAAATAAAACAAAAACAAATATTCTACTTAAAGAGAACTCCCCGCAAAAAAAAGATTACAGTAACAAAAACCTTAATCTGCCCATGTACTATTTCCCATTGACAATAACATTTGAGGTGAATGGAATATCCAATAAAAAATTAAAACAACACATGACTGCATACGTCCGAAGCGCTTTTCTGTATTAACCTAAATCCAGAACGCCCGAGGGAGTTAAATCCTAAGTTTCTTTATAATTCATATATAAACGGCCTATTTTAAATGATTGATTGTTGGTTGTCAGTGGCAAATATTTCATGAATGTTCAGGACAGTAACAAATTAACAATAAATACAATAGGTAGGTCCTGTAATAGAGTCCGATCAGGATGAAGGTCGGCAAATTTAGATCGCCACTGGAAAATAGGGGAATATTGGATAGGGACAGACATTTTGCAACCAACGAACCACTCAAAGAGTTGTTGTAAGGGTTCGTAACGTGCAGAGAGCGTGGCACTCTCTCTACACGCCCCATTCTGACTGGACGTGGCTGCGTATTTGTATTTTGCTCAAAGTTGATTGTCGCACGATAACTTACAAAAGTGCAAATAACAAATACGGAACTATCCCTTATTACAAAAATCATTTATCCCGTTTCCTTTTATTTGCTATTTAATAATTGCAGTTATCACAAAGTTGACAAGTAATTTCTCCATATTGTTCATTTAGTTAGAAAATCAAAGTGTGTCAACATCAGGTCTTACTAATTTTTTTTCGGCTTAAAGAAACAGATTTCTCATTTTCACCCTGTAGATCAAACAAGTTGGCCTCTTGTTTTATATAATATTTAGTTTTTCAGAAAATATTGTTTTCGTTTTGATTTGTTTTGGTAAATTTCATTTCGTTTCGTTCCATTCTTATTCCGTTTCGCACTTGTAACAGGTATCCACTTTTTAGTCCTTTCCCCTTTCCTATATTTTAATAAAAAATCAAAAATTCAAACTTTCAAAAAGCGAAATGATCAAAACTGCACGTTATGTCTATAGCACATGTAGCAAAGTTGTTTAAAATTGGTGTCATGTAATTTCTGATAGAACGTTTTATTAGTTGGGCTCATATTTATAGCAGATCCGAAATAGTATAAAGACCCTCTGATGAAAGGATCTAGGTTGGTTTAGTATAGCGACTTGAGGTAAAAGTGATATCACCTTATAATGCCTATTTTTATTTCTGGGATGTCAGAAGTATGCATTATAACGATGAATATGTCCATTTACGATATTTGCAATATTTATATTTTCATAGATGTGACAAAGCCAGTGGATGTGTTTCTGTTCAACCACAAGGTAAGTTTACGTTTCTCTTGATCCTATAGTTTATTTATCCAAAGTTTTATTCCATTATTTAAACCGTTGTTTTTTTTTTCTCCTTCTTTAAAGATAAATCCAAAAACAAACCTCTTTTGAATTATTGGTATATAGCGCCTTGTTATCTTTGAATCTTTCCATATATATTTTAAAAATAAGGAGATGTTGTATAATTGCTAATGAGACAACTAACCACCAAAGTTGAAATGAAGTGGATGTGAGCAATTATGGGTAACCGTACTGCCTTCAAAAACCCATACCGTATAGTCGGCTATAAAAGACCTCGACATGAAAAATATGAAATAATCCAAGAGAGAAAACTAACGGTTTAATTTATAACAAAAGAATTTGCAAAAAACAAATATGAAAGGCATAGTACACATTTTTGTTTAGGGGCCAGCTGAAGCCCGCCTCCGGGTGCGGGATTTTCTCGCTGTGTTGAAGACCCATTGGTGGCCTTCGGCTGTTTTCTGCTATTTGGTCGGGTTGTTGTCTCTTTGACACATTCCCCATTTCCATTCTCAGTTTTATGAACCAATGACAACCACTGAACTACATGCTCCTGACTTGGGACAGGCACATGACGAATGTGGCGACGTTTGCTGGCGCCTAATCCTCCCCCTAACCCGGGACAATGGTGTAACAGTACATCATGTCTTTTCAATGGTGTTCTATAATTTATATAGTATTTCCTCATATTTATTACAATATGCTGCCAGTGCCTTTTTAGAGAAAAAAAAACTTATTTAAAGTTATTTAAAAAAAAAAAATCGATATAAGACGCAAGACTAATTTTCTACATACGGAGGACGTCGAAAGCTTTAATGAGCTTCAAAAAGAAAAAAAAAATATATTGTATTTAAGAGACAAATAAAGCATCATGAAAAATTATCAATATTCAATCAAACAACACTTAACATTAAGATAACTTACATTTAAACCTTGTTTTGCGTTGTTTAGATAATAATGTTTGCAGCACCTGGTATACATTTTCAGAAATCCCTTAAAATATAATAGATTGGCGTACTTTTCCGATTCTCAGTGAATCGGTTTTCTGAAATAGAATCTTTCCGGAAATAGTATAGTCCAATCTTTCAAAGACAATTCGTACACATCCTTCCATGGACTCTTCTATTTCTTTTAGAGTGTCAGAGTGGAAAATACCTAGCCAATTGCAGCGATGAATGCCAGAGTAACTTTCAAGATATAAGATGTCAGTCTAATTGCAACTGTACATCAAAAGATTTGTAAGGATCACAAATTTATTAGTATATGGATAACTTATTTTATCAAATTTGATATAGAAAATAGTTACAAACATTCAATTTTTGATCCAGTATTGTCAAAAATAAATCGAGTTTCATTTAGTTTTCAAACCAACAATTTTAAATGCTTCAGACAATGCATGGTGTAGACTTTTCATGGAAACGTTAAAATTTTCTTGAGCCTAAAAAAAGATTGAATAAAAAGTGAAATAACAAAAAAACTCAACTCCAAGGAAAATTCAAAACGGAAAGTCTTTTATCAAATGGCAAAATCAAAAACTCAAAAACATCAAACGAATGGAAAACAATTGTCATATTCCGGACTTTGTACAGGCATTTCTTTATGTAGAAAATGGTGGATTAAACCTAGACGTTTTTACTTAGCTTCTTAGGTTGTTTTGGTGGCTTTTTTTATGATTTTCAGTCGTTTTATATGTGTACTTCCAAATTTCTGACCTTTGGCTTTGGTGAACATGAAACAGAAGAAGATAATTCTAGAAATACGTACGCATGGAAACCAGTGCTGTATATTTTCTTATCACATTTATATTCTCAAAACATGCTGTACTAGTTTCTAGATATACATTTATCTTACCGTCTATAGATTTATGTGGATATGATTGGTTAATCGATTACACGTGGTGACCATATATATTTCATATAGGGTGTCCTAAAAAATACATGGTTAGTTACCATATACGGTTAGCAACCATATGCGGTTAGTAAGGGGTTACTTCCCTTTTAAAACAAAAATGACATCTGAAAGGTTTAAACAGACGAAGAAACTGGTAATAAACGATTGAAGTACATTCATAAAACAAATTTAAAGCTAACACGTTGTTATTGTTGGCATTTGTTTTTTGTATAGACAAATAGAAGTAGGTTCTTAAACATGTTAAAATTAAGTATTGAAGTCTTTTAAATCACTTTGATAGGCCGCTAGTCTTAATACCACATGGAAAGATAGTCGGTAAGATAAATTCGTTACACGGTGTGCTAGTGACCTAATACGATATATATGGGGTCAGTAATTCCATATGGAACTTACTGACTCCATATATATCGTATTAGGTCACTAACACACCATGTAACTAATAGTATATGAAAACTTTATCCTTATATTATATTAAAGTCAAGTTTTTGAATTAAAAAAATGTATATGAATTCTTTCTTTACATTAGTAAATATAGATAAATGTTTAATGTATTTCAGTTGCGAAAAGGTGAAAGCTTGTTTCAGCAATGAGAACATTGCAGGTAACAAAACAAAATATTTAGAACGATTGTGTTAACTGAATGGGTTTTTTTTAAATAGAAAAATAAAAGATGTTATTGCTGCTTTAAAAAAAAAATATTTCTAAAAAATATATAATATTATCCATTGATTATTAAAACCGATTGTGAAAAAAAGCAAAATGTCATTTCATTTATTCTTTAGGAAAATCCGATTCTTGGGAAATTCAAAACATTACAAATTTGGTTTATAGAAAAACTGAGCAAATTCTTTATGTTTAGATGTCATTGAGCTGGTCTATTTCAGCAAACTTTATAACAAATCTCATCTTAGTTAAAGGCATATCATTTATATTGTATGCAAGATGGGCGTTTTGTAGACACAAAAGACTTATCAGTGGCGCTGGAATCAAAATGTTTGAAAGCTATAAAATTTCTAGGCACAAAAATGATATTTATCATCGTGTAATACATGCAACATTTTTTCAGACATGGTGGTGATGTTGCTAATTGGAATTAGCAGTGGAGTGTTTGTACTTTCATTGATTATTGTTACAAAGTGCTTAAAATTAAGGATGACAAGAAACGTTGACAGACGAAGCTTTCATTCAATACCATATGACAGGAGAGAGGTTTCATCAGAATATGTTGTTATGGACAACAACGAAAGTTACCGATTATATCCATTAATAAGTATGACAGACATTAACATGGTACAAAATGCTGAATCTTCTTTATATGGTGTCATAGACGATACTTCGATACATACAAATCAGCATAATTTTAATGAATATATTCCAGTAAATGAATATCAAAATACGTCTGCACTAAGTCAGACGTCAAACCAAAGCCTTTTAAATGACGGACAAGGCAATCTGCATGTCTATGACACCCCACATCTTCATGTACATGACATACATAGATGCAATAGATTGAATGATATACCACGCCCTAATCAAGTCCGATCTCCTAATGAAAATGGCGCGTATTCATTACAAAGGTCGCATGGTGGTCTCTACAGCTTTAACTTTCTGTAAACGCATATTGCTAGTTTGCAGTTCCATTGAAACCTACATCTGATCGATTTTCCTTTAAGAAGAATTTTCCTTTTTTACGCATTTGCAACATTGTGATTATCCCAAAAAATAAATGTAACATTTTATCCAACTTTCAAACCGTGAAGAAGCATAGATAATAACTAGTGTTGTAGGAGGATGTGCGTTTTTTTTTTTGATATCACATGCAACATGCATACACATGTACTATCTAGTTGTCTATTGTCCAATCTATAAACTTCTTCTTTCTTGTCGACAGTAACAAAGAATATGAAAACAAAAAGAATAATTAGAATAATATGTCTCCGATAGTCAGATATCGCGGGCACATTCCAAAGGTGGAAAAGTCATTGAAAAACAATTGTTGTGATTCAAACAACAATTAGTATTTGAAATGGAAAATAATATAAGCAATGTTCATACCGGAGATCACCCCTATTTTTTTCTGGGTTCGTGTTGCTCAGTCTTTGGTTTTATATGTTGTGTTTCGTGTACTATTGTTTGTTTGTCTTTTTCTTTTTACCCATGGCGTTGTCAGTTAATTTTCGACTTGTGAGTTTGAATGTCCCTTTGGTATCATTCGCATCTCTTTTCATACATACATACATATTTACTTGCTGCAGTGAGTTCTACTGACCAAAATATTTTACATACATAAGGATAAGGTACAATTTGGGGCTAAATTTGTCTTTATATACAAAAAGAAGATGTGGTATAATTGCCTATGAGACAATTCTCCACAAGAGACCAAATGACACAGAAATAAACAACTATAGGTCTTCAACAATGAGCAAAGTCCATACCGCATAGTCAGCTATAAAAACCCACGAAATAACAATTGTAAAACAATTCAAACGAGAAAACTAACGGTCTAATTTATGTGTAAAATAATGAACGAAAAACAAATATGTAACACAGCAGCAAATGACAACCACTGAATTACTGGCTCCTGACTTGGGACAGGCACATACAGAATGTGGCGGAGTTAAACGATTTTGTTGGCGCCAAACCCTCCCCTAACCTGGGACAGTGGTGTAACAGTACAACATAAGAACAAACGATCAAAATCAGTTGAAAAAGGCTTTACTCATCAGATGGATACAAATAGAAATACATCTAACAAAAACACAGAGTGGACGTGGACGGGTACTTGTAAATCCCAACAACAAAAAGACACTAAGAACAGATCTGAGAGTACTCGCAGTTACTGATAGCTAGTTCAAAGCCAATAACAACTGATAAAAACAATCATGCATCTAAGACTAAATTATCAATCAGTACACATCCAAAATCCAACGTATTAAGTGTAAAGACGTCATAAACAGTCAGAGAAAAACATGACCTTGTGCAATGCCAAGATACAGATATCGACAGAATGAATGTACATATGTATATAACAATAATTATTATATTTAGTTTGATTATAATTTACTGATGACTAAATAAATATTAATACCAATAAAAACAATATTCACAGATCTAATTACAGTGTTGAATTGGTAACCTTTTAGAATAAGTTTATTTAAAGGATCGATAAGTTTACCCGGATCGTTTCTAAATTTCTGGGCTCGGTAAACAACATCTCCGTAAAAATTAGGATGTGCTATCCCGTTTGAATTAAGTTTTCTACAGGAACAAACAAACTTCAAAACCAAATCTTTATATCTATGGAAGAATTCAGTGAAGGTTTTAAGTAATTTGTGGTAACGAAATCCCTGACTTCATAATGCATTTTTTTTTCTTTTGTTGACATTATTGTTTGTTTTTATAGTGATTAAAATTATAACACAATGTTGACTGCTGTACCCTTTTTTTTTACATTTTTACCTTATATGTCTGTTTGTTTTGTTCACACATTGTTGTCAATATAATGGAATTTTATGCGACTGTCATACAAGTGAGAGGTTTAGTTAGCTATAAAACCAGTATTAATCCACCATTTTCTACATAAGGAAATGCCTGTACCAAGTCAGGAATATGACAGTTGTTTTCCATTCGTTTGATGTGTTTGAGGTTTTGATTTTGCCATTTGATAAGGGACTTTCCGTTTTGAATTTTCCTTGGAGTTCGGTATTTTTGTTATTTTACTTTTTAGTCAAAGAGTGAATTGTATTACACATTTTCACAAATCAGAATGAAATGCTATATATTGTATCTTCTTTAATAAAAGATTGTTATTTGAGATTGAAAATCTTACTAATATTTTAAGGCCTGTATCTTAGTGGTAAAAAATAAACCTGTAATGGTATCAACCGTTTTCGGTAAATTTACATGGCAAGAGATGTCCTTCTTAAAACATATTATTTGAAAGCTGAAGCAAGCAAATAAACAAATAAAAAAGTCCACTCCTTAACTTCTTACGGCGTTCAAGATAATGGGAGAGCTAACACCTTAGCTAAAATGCATACTCGCAAATAAAAGTGGGAATTTTCAATATGCTAGTTATTTTTATCATGCCACAATCGAATTCAATTAGTATTTTATCAAAAGTTTAACTAGTTAATCTACTGCTCTTGTCTGTTAAAGATGCACATCTTTACAGTTTTAGCTGGTGCTGTTTTTTATAAGATGACACATATGCAATCTTTTTCGAAGTAAAACAAACCATGAACATCTTAAGGTTTCAATATGAATAGAAAAATGTAGAGTATGGGACAGCAAACCAACGACACAAAAAACAAAAGAATCTAGACATTGACATAGGTTTTTCAACAAAAGGCAAGTTTCAATACAGTATTTCAAGTTGTAAAGCTTTTAGCAAAGATTATAATTGATCCGTTATCAAATTTACAAAAAATTAAAATGACAAAACATTAAGATATACATTTGTAATGAAAGACGACAACTGATGAAGTTCGTGAATTTTGAAAGACGTATAAATATATTTCGGGGTCAAATTAGTTATTCGATATCTTAACCCTCCTCCCTTTTCACTCATTCAGTAAAATAATACTGGTAAAACAATACATTGGCGTCCTTAATTAAACAAACAAAAATTATGATCGTTTCAAAAAGTTCTGACTAATAGCAGCATTTAACATTTTTTAGTATAAACATGTCTTAAATTGTTTAAGTAGCGTTCCATGTAGGGCTAGATTGTTTCCGTTGACAGTTGTAGCCTCTTTACTCTTTTAAAGACACTACTACAGACATCTATTATTAGTTTTGCCTTTGCACTGTTCATGTTTCTATATAAAAAAAAATCGAAATAGATACTTGTGGTATGATTGCTAATCAGATGTCAATCAATCAAATGTTTAAGACCAAGATGTAAACATCTACAGGTAACCATAGTGCCTTCAACTATAATGAACTAACCCATACCGTTAAGTAAGCTATAAATGTCCACGGGATTACAAAGTGTAACACATGAATAGATCAATAACGACCTAAAGCTAATACTATCAAACGAAAAACATATATGAAAGTCGGCAACCATCGACATCAACTGGACTTCTGCCCTTGGCTTCGGACAGGAACCTAAGAAATATGACTAGGTTTAACATATATTTATGAGCACCTAACTAAGTCTACTCATTATATATATACAAACAACGGTGGTGTAAATGCCCAACATAAGAACAAACCGTAAATAGATATATTGAAATAACATAAATGGTACTAAATTGTATTACCCCAGATACGCATTTCGACAATTAATGTCTCTTCAATGTTGCTCGAAGCAAAATTATTTGAAAATCCAAAACCTGTTACAAACGTTGAAGAGCTGATTAAACCAAAAAGAACTTAAAGTATAGCCAAACCCGTACAAGGAATCAGAGCTTTGCATAAGGGAGATATACTCTTTAATTTAAAATGGTTTCCAAAATTTTATAACAGAAAATTTCAATCAAACAATATCCGTATTTTCATTCCAGTACTGTTGACTGGACTGGTGATACACTCGGGGACTTACAGTCCATATGCAGAGGTATCGATCCAGTGGTAGTTGTAACATAAACGGTATCAAATGTCTCTGCACCATATACGCATTTCGACAATTAATGTATTTTCAGTAATGTTCTAGGTCATATTTTTATTAATGGTCTTTTGTTTTGCATGAATCAGGCTGTTGATTTTCTCTTTTGAATTGTTTCATATTTTGCCATGGCGAGAACTTTATTGCATAATATACGATATGAGTTTCTCACTTTTAAAGGCCATTCCTATAGCTGTTTACATCCTCGTCCTTGGGTCACTGTTGGAGCGTTGTCTTATTGGCAATCATACCACATCTACTTATTTTTATACTAACTTATTAGATTAATAATAAGAACAATAACAACTAACCAAATAAACAAAACACATAAAGTACCGAATTTCGTCTACTCTTAGTTAATGAAAGCTAGTAAAAAGCCTATCTTCACCTTCTAAATAGACCCTGTTTTGAAGACTAACATATTAATGCAAATGGTTCTGACTTATGTAAAAGGTGAGCATATTAGCATGACCTTTTGCAATGTAAATATATATATAAGTATCGACAAGATGCATGAATTAATGTGTTGAACTTGTAATAACTGGATAGCATATATAGTATTAGTTATCTATTAAACTATTTTTAATAAAATCAATATTAGTTATTCGTATTAAATATACTTGCATGTAAAACGGCCAATATTAGAGTCATGCAGTGTACGAGACCATGAGTATTAGAATGCATAATTTTATTACATTGCACTTTTAATATAGTTTCGAGAAGCTACGAGCCATCTTTCTTTTAGATAAGTTTGACGTCCTGTTCATCAGTAATGCTATTGGTGTTGTAAGCGGTCCTTTGTCCAATGCATTCTTGACTTGTGTAGTTTAATCTTGATATACAGTAAAAGACACTTGTCTATTGTTAAAGACAATAATGTTTTTTTATAATTGTTCTCATAGATCATTAATGAACCTCATAATTTGTATTTATGTTGGGTATTCTGGTCAGGAAAATTCTGATAAAGAGTTAGAAATCCTTGTGTTTGTATATTAGAATTGCCCATAGTTGCCAAAATCAGTATGAACGCATAAAAAGTATGGTCAAAAGTATTAGATTCAATAATCAAATGAACTAGGCAAGCGTCGAATAATGCACGTCTCCTGTTGGATATTTAAAAAATAAAATAATAAGGTAAATGCAATTCAACAGCTATTATTGTATATGTAACCATGAGAAAAGCCAAAAATTATATAAAGATACAAACATATTGTTAGTAAACTTTTAATGAGGATATTGACATTTGTAGTATTGCTCCCAATTACATGCTTGTCTGTTTGTTTGTTCATTTCTGACAACCTAATTGGTCAGAGTAGAGATAACTAAAAAGAAATACACCCACAACGAAAACATCGGCGACAAAGTTTCAATCTTTATGGAATAATGCATTACCAATTGTTTGTGTTACTTGATTTTCATTTTAACCATTTGTGAAAATGCGAATGATATTCCTTAAAGGTTACAGATAACCTAAGTTTCGTACTCATGAAATTTATAAAGTTTTAATTTCTTTTTTCCTTTTTTTTCTTGTTCTTAGTCGTTTTCACAACTACAAATGTACCTGCTAATAGAATGTTTGTTCCATATTGCAGATAAAAAAAAAACAAATACTTTTTTGTAGTTGTTGGAATTCGTTTTACCAAAAGTTGGGAACAGCCATTCCCTATGGATGCAATGACAACATTGATGGTGTAGGTATTTTGTCTAGTCCCAGGTGTAGTACTGAAAAACAAATTACAATTATTTAACACTTCTCCTCCAAGAAAAAGAAGTCATGGTCACAGAAATTATACACCACCTGCTGTTCACACCGTGACAATTGATAGTCTGTTGTCGTCTGTCCAAAAACCTGATGGAATTCACCATATCAGAACTAAATTATACTCCATTCCATTATCTAAACTTTATTTACTATTTCAAGAGGCCTAAAATACTTCCATTATTGATTCTAATTCTGTTTTGTATAGATTAGATGCAATAATCATGGACATTGCTAACCATATACTATTCAAACCCGTATCTACTACTTCCAAAAAAAAGGAAAAACGTAATTAAAGAATTCGCCAATAAAGGTTTAGATGCTATCAATATTAGCAATATTCTCCACCAGAAATCTGTACAAAAAATTATACCTGATTACTTCAAAAATAAAGCTACACCTGTAATTTCATATACTTACACCAAGCCTATTGCATCCAAGATTCTCAACCACAAGAGGGTTTTAGAGGTCTTTCACCTCAAAGATGTGAAATCCAAACCTCCGGATTGCTCATGTGCATCGTCAAAATACAATTATAGTGCAACTGGTCATGTTATTACTGGCGACCTTGGCATCGTCGCCAATGAACAACTAAGAGAGTTGTTAGCCAAGAGGCCAAAATATAGAATTTCCCAGCCCATTAATTGGAATAAGAACTTCAAGTTACTGATGGATGCAGTTGAAGACTATGCCAGAAAATGGGTAAAGCGCGAGCCAGATGAACCAGAACTGGACACTTGTCTGAATGGATCAAAGCTATTCGATCATGCATTCACAAGAGCATTCAGAAACTACAATGAACTATGAGCACAAGCGTTTCTAGCCAAATCAAAAACCCGGAGGTTGTGAATGCTTTATCCTGTTTTCATGACAAATATGTCGTTGTTCCAGCAGATAACGCCCCAAATGATATTGTCTTCATATGTAAAAACCATTACTTGGAATGTCTCACAAAAGAGCTTGGAATAAACAGTAAAGCTGGCAATCCTACATATTCCTTAAAATCATTTACAAAGAATGAAATTTTAGAAAATCACAAATCTTTCCTTCTTTTTTTTAGTATTAACATCAAAGAAAACGAAGAAAATCTACCACCATTAGACTGAAAACCAAAACTTCACAAAACTCCTTATAAAGAACGATACATAGCTGGATCATCAAGATGATGACTAAACATCTTTCTAAAGTGCTGACTACTATTATTTCTACAGTAAAAGATGGCCTTTAAATATATTGTGATGAGATATATTCAACTAGTGGTGTCAATCAGATGTGGATTCTTAAAAATTCTAAAGATCTACTGCTAAATCTTAGATCACAATCTCTGCAATTTTGCAGTTACATTAAGACTTTTGATTTTTCTACTCTTTACACTACTATTCCCCATGCTCAATTGAAAGATCGACTTCACCATCTCATTAAATAGAGCTTTTTGCTATAAAAA